CGATGAAGGATGCTCTTCATCACAATTTCGAGTTTTCCCAATTTCCACGAGTGTTGATATAACTGTATATCAATACGGGAAAATGTTTTATATTTCTTTTATAATATGCATGGTACGAAGAAACATAAAGAAAGAAATTTTCCGTGTTGACATTGAGTTATATCAACACGGCTCTATCTATAATCTATGCTATTTATAATATATAGCATTTGTAAATTCTGAACGCTGATATGTATATAAATAAAAGTATATTTCAATCCGGTGAACTTTTATTAACTATAATATGCCTGGATTACAAATCTTTAACAAAAAACACTTGACCCAGTCTTTTTCACTCGCATTTAATTAATTAAACATATACAGCCACGTCGTCTTTCATGGCAAAACGTTAACAATGGCAGAAAGAACGGACAATCCGTCGTATTCAATCATGACAATAAACATGAATGGCCCGTCCGCGGGAGTAGGAACTGCAAAGGGACGTAGAGATTTTTTGTCCCGTATATTCAAATTGTATCCTTCAGATATAGTCTTCTGCCAAGAAACGTGCCCGGGTTTCAAAGAACTAATGCCAGCTCCAAAGAACTTCGAAGTCGTGAAGAAAGGAAAGGAAGCAGCTGTAATATGGTCAACCAAACACTTCAGTGGCTCACAAGATGGAATTAAGACAACGAACAAACAAATAAGGACAAAACTTGAAGAAATACGTAAAGAAAATGAAGATGCCGGTGACCTTATATCCAGAATAGCAATGGTCAAACTGACGCCGACGCCTCGTCAGGAGACGACTAAAAGTATTCTGGCGGTTTCATTTCATGGGCCCCACAACAAGTTTAAAGGGCCTCAAGCGGACGAAAAAAAGAAGAAGTTTTTCAAAAGTCTTCTGAAGTTTCTTAATAAAATTGAAGAAACTGAGGACAACAAAGATATAGGTTCTTACATCATCGGCGGGGATTTCAATTTTGACACAAGTACGGACGTCCCTAATCTGCCCGAGAATGTGCATATCATGGTGGTCGGGAAATACGTGTCAAGCCCTCGGTCAAAAAAAAAAAAGGAACCGCGTTTATATCTTTCAAGGACAACTTTGTATATTGTCCAAAGCCAAAGTTAAATGTGTCTTCGATAATAGCTATTGATTTGAATAGTATAGATACTAAAGAAAGTGTGATAGAAGCTATTGATTCGAATAGTAAAGTTACTAAAGATAGTGTGATAAAAGCTATTGATTTGAGTATGGTTACTAAAGAGAGTGTGATAAAAGCTATTGATTTGAATAGTATAGTTACTAAAGAGAGTGTGATCAAAGCTATTAATTCGAATAGTATAGATACTAGAGATAGTGTGATAAAAGCTATTGAGTTGGGTAAAGATACTAAAAAGAATGCGATAAAAGCTATTGATTTGAATAGTAAAGTTACTAAAAAGAGTGTGCAGAAAGTTATTGATTCGAATAGTAAAGTTACTAAAGAGAGTGTGATAAAAGCTATTGATTCGAATAGTATAGATACTAAAAAGAGTGTGATAAGTGCTATTGATTTGTATATAGATACTAAAAAGAGTGTGATAAAAGCTATTGATTCGAATAGTAAAGATACTAAAGATAGTGTGATAAAAGCTATTGAGTTGGGTAAAGTTACTAAAGAGAGTGTGATGGAAGTTATTGATTCGAATAGTAAAGTTACTAAAGAGAGTGTGATGGAAGCTATTGATTCGAATAGTATGGTTATTAAAGATAGAGTGATAAAAGCTATTAATTTGAGTATAGATACTAAAAAGAGTGTGATAAAAGCTATCGATTTGAATAGTATAGTTACTAAAGATAGTGTGATCAAAGCTATAGATTTGAATAGCATATATACACTAGATACTGAAAAGAGTAAACTGCTGGATCATGATCCTATCGTTGGGAAGTTGCATTTTACTCCTCAAACTGAAGAGGGCTCGCAATCTGAGGGGAACTCGCCACCTGAAGAGGGCGCGCGCCATCTGAATTATTAAGAGGACTCGCTATCTGAAGAGAACCCGCCATCTGAAGAGAACTCGCCATCTGAAGAAAACCTTACAAAAGACTTGAAAGCCTGGAAACTCTTTCGAAAGACTCGAAAAAAGTAAGGATTTCCGGTGAAACAGTATAAGAGTAGAAGCTTTCCAGCAACGTACAGTAGACAAATCAAACAAAAGGTCGCACAAAGAGAACGAAAACTTTAGTTTGTAAAAAAAAACTCTGTATATATTGCATAAACTTATCGGCTTATCGTGCACAAATTATATACATGCAGTTTATCTCTGACATGAAAAACGTCTCTCGTTAAGAATAATTTGGGGCAATGTTAACCGGCATGCTATAAATCCAGATTATTTTCATGTAAATTTTCAAAGTTATGTTGTTCTAGAAACTTCCATCTCAATTAATAAATAATGTTGGCCTCTTTAAAGACGCAGCTAAACCTATTGTTTTAAACACGTGTATGGGCAGGTGTTTTATTTATTTAAATTCAAAGATTTTGTACAAATTTCTCATCATTAATTTTTAATTCTTGTTATTTAAAATCGGGGGGGGGGGGTGTATCTGTCAACTACCGTAATTTCGTATACGTATTTTACTGATACGTATATATTTTACTGATTGGCCTAACTTCAGATCGGAATCCTTCAGAGTATATCCACGTAATTTTGTTTCGTAATTTCAGTTAAATATGATTTCAAAATTTAAACTGGCAGAACTTTAAAGTGGCGCTGCATGTGATAAAAACATATATGATTCATGAGTTCTCGCTTCGATTCCAATTTTATTTTTGGCAAAAAATTATTGGCTGGTTAGTTAATCTGGACTCATGCACATCGAAAAATTAAAGTTTCTTACGTCACTCGACTATGGAACATATAATCTGCATGCTAATAATGGCGGATACTTTAAACGAGAAATTATTGTTGAAAACTCAAACTTACATTTGAGGTTTAGCCGTATAGTAATAGACACGCGCGAATTTGCTTCAGTGCTGCACACAAAAAATAGCTTAAAATCGAAGTAGACGATGCAGTACGTTATAAATAAGCGCGAGTTTTCGTTGCCAGACAGCAATTTGGGCAAGTGTCGTTTAGCTAATCCCATATATATTAATTAAAGGGATATGGCAATATGAATTAAGTAATTTGTCTTATTTGAAAAAAAACACATTTAAAATGATAAATAAACTTCTTATACATGCAATTGTATTCCGTATTCTTATTAGAAAAAACAGTTAAAATGATATGTAAACTTCCTTTATACAATTGTATTCCGTATTTTGCTTGGTTTTCGAAATAAATCGACTTATTTTGATCAAAAGCGGCGTGCATTCCGCCATGTTGGATATGCATTCCGTATGCATGCATATGTCACAAGTAGGGTAAAAAAGCGAAATTTTCATCTTGCAAAATACATGTCATTATCAATATGGAACTCGATTTTCCGAAGTCTTTTCAGTAATCAATAAACTCACAATATTTTAGGAAACTTTTCCAAGAAATTTAGTCCCACATAAAGAAGTACTTTTAGTGTCAGCTCTCTCAATACACCTCGACTACGGAACAAAATCTGTTGCGAAATAATTGTCGAAAAACTCGGAATGGGATGAAAACAAGCAACAACCAAAAAATCAACCTCAAGGCATCAGTTCTAAACTGTTCCCTCTAGAGGTCCAGTAAAAATCATCTCTTATTGATCCAGTGTTACTACAGGAGGAAAACTAAACTAAACTAACTTTATTTATACTATATAGCTCTATCAGTTCTAAACTGTTCTTCCTATGGAGGTCCAGTAAGGATCATCTCTTATTGATCCAGTGTTACTACAGGAGGAAACCTAAACTAAACTAACTTTATTTATACTGGATAGCT